GAAAATTAAATTTTCGTGGTAAAATCTCAGTTGTCAAAAGAGAAATTCAAACCCGTTGCTTTGGCAAACAATAACTGTGATTGGGGTTCTGATACGCCATTCAAGAGATGGTGAAAAAGTACAAGGAGCAAACGCAATTTTGCCGAATACAAAAGAGCATAAAAATGAATATTCAAATTCCCAATTGAAATTCTTATTTGATTTTTTCAAAGAATGCTTTTCATATCTCGTTGCATAACTGATATTGAGTCGTTAAAGTCGAGTTATAATTTTAAAAAGTCGTAACTTATGCTTTCGTGCAAAAATGCCATTGAGTGTTGAGTTTTGTGTTGATTTGAATTGTGATTTTGCCATTGAAAAAACCAATGTCAATTGCTTATATTCATTTCAAACGTAAATGTCTTCCGTCTGTTTGTCGTTTGTCAAGCTTTCGCCTGGATTTGATGGTGTGTGTGTTTTTTGTGTTTAAACAAAAGCAAAATGCATGAAGATTTCAATCTTTGTTTATTGAATGAACATAAATATAATGCGAACGTTTTTTTTTGTTTCGCTGCAATCCAATAACAACAAACAGAAAATGTCTTTTGGATATTCGACGATTTCACTGCAATTGTTGGAAAACGTGCGCTCATGCCATTTTGCGATATTGTCGAAACATTATTTGCATCGAATGCCGCCTCAAGCGAAAATGACAAAAAAACCAAAAAAACACTAAACAAATAATGAGAGCAAAATGAGTCTCGTGTCGAACAGTAGAGAATTTGTAAAACCGTGATGGTGCAAAAACTGTATGAAGTCATTTCAAGAAAAATGTGCAAAGACCTCAAAATGCCGGAAACCCATTTTCAGATTTATCGTCATTTTATTACTATCATGCCATTCTTGTTTTACATTTTTTCATACGGTTTTTTTGTCGCCGCTTTTGTTCTTTTGTCTCGCCAGCTCACCCACTGACTTCGTTGTTTACTTTTACTCTGTATTGGGGTTTCAATGGACGGTTCTTATTTACTTTCGGTTTTTTTTTTTCGTTTCGAAGTTCTTTTCATATTGACACTTTTTCATGGTGTCAGAAATAGTTCAAAATAAGCGCAGAGAAAGCTATTCGATTCTGTAGTTTGAGCTATTTTATTTGTGTGAACGGGGAATAAAGAAAAACCAAAAAAGAAACACAAACAAAACTCGACTCGCTCATTTTGAACGATTTTCGTTCAGACTTACTCCAAAGCTCTAATGTCTCCGTCTCTTTTTGTCACTTTCCCATCATTATTTGTTTTTCATTGTTTCTTTACATTACGACAACGCTTAATCCATCCGGTATTTGCTTTTGCAAATTTCTTCTTTTCTTTTCATCGCTTTTATTACTTCAGATACGAGTTAGCATTTCTTTTTATTGAGCTTGCATTTGTTTGTTTGAGAATGTGAGAAAATGTTTTCATTTCCAGCTCTGAATCAAAGTTGGAAAGCGCTCAAAACTGATTTCAAAACTAGATTGTGTAAATATTTAAATGATGCTGATAAAAATTATTCTGCGCTTGCTGTGTATTTGAAGCGAAATAACTTCGTTTATCTACAAAATGGATTTCAATGCATTGCTTTGGACTCACAAAGTCGAGAGTCGCGCCATTTTCTCGGAGGGAAATTCATATTTCTCTGGTTTTTTCTCATACTATGACTGGTCCATTGTTTTAGATACGAATATTACTTTTCTGCACACCGCATTTACAGTTGGTATCCTCTTGAGAAACGACAAAAAGTCCAAAAAAAGTCCAAAAATAGTTCGGCCAAGAAATAAAACATCAGTAACTTTCATCTGGCACCTGTATAACTAAAGGTTCGGTCAATTCGGAAAAATCGATTTAATTCACTTTTGGACTCAATGCTCAAATTGTGTTGTCAACTCTGTTAGATTTTTGTAATATTCATTTTGAAAGTGAATCAGTGGTTTTCGGAAAATTCAAAGCAATATTGTCCATCGACGAAAACTGAGCATTCTGAACTAAAAAATACAAAAATGAGCTTTACTCCAAAACCCCGATTGAATAGAATCTAATTTGTGGAATATGTTGAGGTGCTCTCACATATGTCGAATATACTACAGGGGGAGGAAAAATTTTTAAGCCTGATATAGAAACACACATTGTATTTTTAAATGACTATATTTATTATTCAAAGTAGTCTCCATGAACACGAATGACACTTTCATATCGATGCTTCAATGCTTTAATTCCTCCTTCAAACCACTCGGCATCTTTGTCCTCCCATACGTTGAAAATATCGTTCGATATCTCTTCTTCGGACTCATATTGCTTCCCCTTCAGATATCTTTTGGTGTTTGGGAACAGGAAATAGTCGCTGGGGGCCAGATCTGGAGAATACGGTGGATGGTGGAGTTGTTCGAACCCACATTCCCTGATGGCAGCTTGTGCAAGCAATGATTTGTGAGGCGGTGCATTGTCATGCAAAAGAAGAACTTTTCGAGTGAGCAAACCAGGACGCTTTTCTCTGATCGCTTTACGCAATCTATGCATTTGTTGTGCATAATAATAGCCCGTGACTGTGGTATTCTTTGGAAGGAATTCAACCAATAATATGCCTTTGGCATCCCAGAATACAGAGGCCATTACTTTGTTTGTGGCAATTTGTTTGCGTGGCACTTTCGATGCTGGTTCACCACGTTTGTGCCATTCCTTCGTCTGTGATTTGAGCTCTGGATCATAGTAGTGGATCCAGGTTTCGTCGCCAGTCACTATTCCCTCAAATGTGTCCGTTTCATTCCATTCCAACAACTCGAGAAACTCGTGTGCAGCAGCAATTCGTTCTTCTTTTTGGGATTTGTTCAACGTTCTTGGAATCCATCGCGAGCAAACCTTTCTCATGTGCAATTTTTCATGAAGTATGTTGTAAATACTCTTCTCTGAGATGTCAAACATTGCTGCTAACACTTTCTTGCTCATTCGAGGATTTTCGTGCACGTGATGTTCAATTTTTTGCACTACATCTGAAGCTGTTGCTTCAATTGGTCGACCTGTATGAGGATCATCTTCCAATGATTCTCTACCCCACTTGAATTGTTTTGCCCATAGTTTTACTGTGGCATACGATGGGGCAAGGACCCCATAAACAGCACGCAAGCGATCATTGATATCCTTTGGTGTCACACCTTCTTTTGTGAGAAACTTAATCACCGCACGATATTCGATTTTATCCATTTTTTCAAAAATATCGAGGTTACTTGGTATGCAATGATGTTGAAAACAAACGACGACAGATATCAACTCAATTTTTTTCTGCAATACTATTGACAGTTCGTACGTCAATTACAGCACAAGAACAATTTGTAACTAGTGCCGTCTATATGTCAGGCTTAAAAATTTTTCCTCCCCCTGTATTTTCAATTTAGAGACAAACCTGTTGAAAATAAAAGATATATCATAACACTGCCAATCTAACATGGAAAATAACCAAATATGGTTGAACTATTCGAAAACTTTAAATCAGCCACATTTTGTGTTTCCGAATTTGGTCCGAATGTGGCCTCTTCAAGTGTCTTTCTGTCCGAGAACTAAAGTAATATGTATGTTTGGTTATTGATAGTAGTCGAATGAGGGTCGTACTTTTTTTTGCAAGGAACTTGGACTGCAGATAATTTGAATCATATTATATTCGAAATGAAACCATCGCAAAGGTTCACATTTTCAAACAAATAATAAATGAGAGAAGTTCTGGCAAAATTGAATCGAAACCGATTTTGGAGAATACTTTGTTTGAATTGAAAGCGCAAACAGATCAAATACTTCTGAGTGCTGACCTACATTGTTTTCGAAACAATTTGGCATTTCGGTTTCAATTAGCAAGATAAACTCTGAAATGATCAACTCTACTGAATTCGAAAGGGAACTTTTGCCAAAATTTAATTTGTTCTATAGTTTTTGCATTATTTACTTATTTGCAATGGATTTTCTCTTCGTCAAAACCCATGGATTATTGCTCTAAAATGCTTATTATTTAGCAAAAATAATCTTAAAAAATGAAGGTTTTCGTTCAAAAAATAGCCAAAATACCTCTTATTATAAAAATTCATTCACAATGAATGAAAACTGTTTAAAACAGTAATTTATCGCTTTGAAAAAGAAAGTTTTCGAAAGCACCACGGTCAAAAGTATGTTTATGTTATATAAGATACCATATTTTCAAAAAATAGCCCCCTTGATTCTAATGGTAAGCATTTTTCTGTAAAATTTCCGAATTCTCTACAAGTTGGCACATATATTTCATATTTTATGAGCTGAAGTTCATTATACAGTGAAAAGTTTGCATCGCATAAAATGTGTGCAATTGTGCATACTCCACAGAGTAAACACATAAGTTTGTTCATATTTCGATTCGTTCGTGTGTTATTGCTGTACTATGAATTTCAAATGGCTACATGAAACATCTGCCCGGCATGAATGCCAAATATTACAAAATGGAACACATAATGTATCCGTACGATTTCAAGCCAATATTTATAATTCATGATGTTTTAGTTTGGTTTGGGAAAATTTTCACGGAAATTGCATTTGATTCGGGAAATGCGCACTACAGAAAGTCGAATTCAACTTTAAAGTAACAAAACAGAGAAGATTTTCTCCGAACGAGATTAAAATCCCGTAAATATGGCAGAAGTGTCGTTTTCTTGGAACCAAATTTCAGTAAATGAGCAAAATTTTTCAAATAAACCATTCTCAGAAGCGAAGCTACGGTTCCATCTGACCTGTATTTTTCCATTTTCCGCACATCTAGTGTGTGAACCTACATAAAGTCATTTAAAAACCGCTGATAGTCGCTGCAAATCCAGAATTCACCATGGATTTTTGTGATTTAATTAAATTTTGATGATAAAAAAAGCCCAGCTCAGCGATTAAAGCGAACTCTCATTTATCTTGTTTTCATGTTCAAAGAGCTCAAATGGATAAGACGAAAAAAAAAGTGTACGCTCGTTGGGGTTAAAGATTGCTTACCGTTGCATTTTGCTAATTAATGTTTTGCATTGATTTCCACATCCACCTCCATTACTAGACCAAGATGTGCCACCAGCTGCAATGAAAAAAAGGAATAAAAACATCCATTAAACTTGATTGAAAAAAATGGAAGGAAAAAGAAATAGAAAAATCGGTTTAATTGAATTTGTGTTTCGTAAGTGTTTTCGAAAAACAGCCGAGAGGGGGAGAGAAAAAGAGGTCAACAACTGCCACTCTTTTTTCTCTGTCTTTCATTTTGGGATTCTCTTACTCTCCGTTTCTTACCCTTTCTTTCACCTCGCTCAACCTCTTTCCCTCCCCCTCGATCCCCCATTGTCCCTTTCCCATTTTATATCCATCTCGTTCTCTCTTTTTTCTCTCTTTCTTCCTTTCTCCCCTTCTCTCCCTTTCCCCCGAACTCCCTCTTTCTTCCTCCGTTCAAAGCACAGAATAACAGAAAATAAGAGATTGAAGAAATAAATGGAAAAAATAAAATCAAAAGAAAGACTGAATGTAGCAAGGTAAAAAGGATTTATTTAAATATTTGCTTATGTCACTACAGTAACACAAATCTACATAGCAATGAGAATCAACCATTTCCCAGTATTGAACAAGAGATTGGAATGACGATACTTAAACTAGTTGGGTTTTCCATTGAAGTGCAATGTTTTATTTCATTCCATCTAAAAAAAAGTGGACTAAAACTCAACAAAATGTGTCGAAGAGAAAAACATATATCATCACAATAAAATTGGCACATAGACATGGTAAACAAACCTGTTAGATATATATGTTAATTTAGCACGTTTACACGCAACAAATACGCTCCCATAATCCAAAATTCATAAACTTCTTTGCCGTTTGTTGGGAGTTTTCAAGTTTAAAAATCGAATTTTTATGACTTTTTCATCCGCTTCGGATTTTTTTTATGGACTGCACCTAATACCAGCTGTTTTATTCGGATTTTACACGTTCGAGTTTTGTCAAACCCCGACTGAAGCTACAAATGAGGTTGAAAACACCACATCCGGTATATACGGTGGAATGTTTCTGTTTTTTAGCTCCCATCTTTCTCTTATCCTCTCAATTTTCCCGTTATATTTCTCATTCCTCTTCCGCCTCGCTTTCATCATGGGGCGCCTTCCTTCTGCCCGCAACAACCCTGAGCGTTAATAGGATTCGAGTCACGAAATGAAGGCAATATACACATGCGATGTCTACCATCACTTACAATGGCAAATAATGTAAAAAACTGCATGATGGCGCCATCTCTATGTGCTCATGAAAATTAGAACAAAAAGTTTGTGTAGAATGTTAATTGTTTGAAGTTTGAATACGGAATCATTTGTTGTGACGTCTGTCATTTTACGCTCGATAAAGATATACCGTGTAAATTGTACAAAAACCGATTTATTATTTGTATTTAGTGAATTTGTGATGGAAAATAAATTGAAATTACTTTGCACAGTTTGTGTCATCGAAATTAACTGCGAGGACGTTGCATATCACATGGTTTTTCTTCACACAAAATCAGTTGACATTTTTGACTTTTTCGCACCAAAAAAAAAATGTTTTAATTGCCTTTGGTGCTCGTTTGGATCGCGAGTTCAATGCCAAGCACATAGAGATGTCGCTCGGAACGTGAAGCTCAAAAAAAATATACAGGTGATATAGAAAGCAAGTGATGGTAGTGCGATGTGCATTCAACATACTAACGCAAACAAAATGAAATTTGTTTTTTTTTCTTTGGCTCTTGAATCAAACGATCGACAACTTTTTATGTAAACATGTGAATATTGAGAGACACGCACGTTTTTTTTTCTCTCGTCGGTCGTGCAAAGGTTTTTTTTTCGAGGTAGGATTTATTCGAGAAAAAAAGATTCAATTGATGAAATGAAAGAGAAGAGGGAAGGGAAAAAAATCGATCTCCACCAAAACACGCAATTCCATTTTGGGCGCGATTTTATTTTTAGCACATGTACGCCAACAAGTGTCGATGACTATCTCAACGTTTTGCCTATCGTATACACTATTACGATGAACCGACGATGTGGTACGAGGGAAAATATCATAATGGCTCATTCATGGTATGAAAATGGTGATATGATAGCGAATTTCGGCAACCAAAACAAATGAGTGTCGAAAACACGCAACACTTCTGCTTGGAAGGTAGGTAAAGGTTTCAAAGAAATTCATCATCATTAAGCCTTTTGATGTGTAAATTTAAAGTTTGTTGACTATAACCACAGCTAAAACCCTAACTCGTATCACGTAGACCGTTCATTTTCATCATTTTTCACTGTTCAATGAGCTTAAAATCATTGACAGATTCAAAATCATTCAATTGAAATTTGGCATGCTGGGTAAATACAGCTTGTTGCATTTTCATATCGATTTTCTATGAATTATTCGCATTCGACGAACTACAAAGCAGCAGAGCTTGGTTCGCTTCATTGGATGCTATTAAAGGATTTTAGATTTTGGGGCAGGCGAGAAAGTTGAAAGAGAGATCGAGAGTGAGGAAGACAAAGAAGAGCGGTGGAGAAAGGGGAGAGAGGGGGAGACAGTGTGGAAGAGAAAAAGAGAGACAGAGAGGAACCGAAAAGGAGCTAATGAAATAGATGTGAAAGAAAATGAAACCTGGGTAGAAGCAATGCTAGTGAAATCGCATGTAATCTTTTCGATTTGGTATTGTTAATGAATCAATTATTTCTATTTACGAAAACGAGTCACACCGTTGAAATGAGATTACTTTCGTTGCTTGTAAATAGCAGTTGAATGTTTTGATCTGTCTCACATTTTGACAGCTTCTTTCAACGACGTTTTCTTTCATTTCGATTGCTATTTATATTTCGAACTAAATTTCAAGAACTTTCTCTCTTTTTTCCTCTCTCTCTCTCTCTCTCTCTCTCTCTCTCTCTCTCTCTCTCTCTATCTCTCTCTATCTCTCTCTATCTCTCTCTACATACCGTAATCTCGCCTTCTTTATATTTCTCTTTCATTTTCTCAAGTTCTCTTCCTCCCTCTTCTCGTACTTAAGACTGACTTTTACCACGGCATAAATCGATCAATATCCAATGTGTCCTTGTTCAAACTTTTGAATGTTTCAATTCGATGCCACGGCTTCAGCAGGTCCTTTTTTACATCAGATCCCAAAAGTCGTCGTGTCGAACTTTTCGTCGCACATTTTGTTGTGTGAGTGAAAAATGGCACACAAAGTTTTCAATTTTTGTCGCGTATTTCGTCTTAACCAAAAGGAAAGACGAGACACAGTGAGAGACGTCTCGGCGGCTTTAAGCCAGTTCCACTCACTCGATCAAAATTTTGTGAAAGCCTATTTTGTTTTTGGGTTTTTGTTCGATGTCAATGATATGCTACTGTGAACATTGACATTGTCCCGCTTGCATAGAGTGTGAAATGGAGGATGACCAGAACAATAAATAAAATGGAGAAAATGAGTCAGAGAAACACAAAGCACCATCAATAATACAGATTTTGGAATTGTTTTGTCAACAACGAAAAAAAAAAACAACAACAACAAACTTTGCACTTTATTTGTAAACAGATGCTCCCCTGGTGCTGACCGGCTACAACGGCAATAAACTCATAGCTCGCAGACGGGAATTGAGACGTGATGACTTCACATCAACAAAAGTTCACACAATGAATAATAGCGACGCATTGAAAATCCGCATCCACTCAAATTGCTCACGTAATTGTAGATTTTATGCTTGCATTGTGTGTTCAATCCAAATCGAATGCCATAAATTGCGCGGACAACTGCAAAATAGACCGTAAATGTATGACATTAACAGATGCACAGATGATGACGGCAGAGTTCAGAGGGCTTTGACAGAGATTGCATTGTGCAAAAGTTTGAAAATTGATGACATCGCACTGATACAATCGATCACACCATATATTTGGTTTTGACCGGCGACCATGGTCTTTTGTGGCTATTATTTCAATTACAATTATAAAATAAATAGCCAAGCTACGGTTATCTGTTTAAATATCACAACGAAAAATTCGTCCGTTCCCAAAATCCCTGGAGAAGAATTGTAGAAAATTAAATGAATCTTCAAAAAAAATTCTCTGTGTCTGTCTTTGGGATTGATTTAAGAACATAGTGTGTAGTTTCAGATGCAGCACTGACAATGCCACACTCATGCGTCAATTCAATCAGGCCAATGAATTATTGCGTTTGGTGTCTGCTGCACCATATAGCTTCAAATCAGCTGTAACCATAGAAATGAGAGTGCATTTATGTTGTGTGTTCTTGTGCTTAAATTGTAGATTTCTGCTATTGTCATGACATGCTTAACATTTTGCTTTTCACCGAAAACTCGTTACGATGTCAAGATTTAAATACGCCAACACAAGCAATTGGCATAAAATCCAATATATTCGGCCCTCTAATACAAGAAAACACATGTACGCACATGCTTTATTTCTCTCTCTTTATCTCTCGTTCAAACATTTAGTGAATGCGTCACATAAAAATAATAAAGACAACGCAATAGCAAAGTTTCCATCGTCAGACTCGGTTTATGAGGCTCAAACGTTTTTGTTTTAGTTCATATTTTTGTTATTGATATAATTTTTCTCATTACGCAACAAATACTCTCGAATTTTTAAATCAGCACTAATGAAAACGATGAGCATAGCGCACAAACACACACACAACGAAATAATTAGACAGACGCAACTCATGCAAAAATAAGGATGAGCGCCTGCACAAAATTACAATTAATGGAACAAATTCACAACATCAAAGTCGAATCGATAGAAAAGTTTCATCGACTTTTTCTTTGCAAAGGCTCAGCAATTACGCACATTTACATATTCATTGAATTATTTCTGTCTAACAACCAATTTCTGAATTTTTTACATGATTTGAAGGGAACAAACGATTTCTTGGCATTTTTTTGAAATGGAAACTTTGAACTTGAGAATGAACAAAGAGTCAAAAAGGCGAGCTCGTTTTTGAATAATTATACTAGAAAAGTCACGAATATTTCAATATTCATTGATTTATGTCTTTAACCAAAAACTCTGATTCGAAAGAAAATACCT